AGAGAGAGAGAGAGAGAGAGAGAGAGAGAGAGAGAGAGAGAGAAACTAGGAATAGGCAGGAGGAAAACTAGGACAAAGAAGAAACGTCATGCAAAATGTCTTACATAAGGAACTGATGGCTTAAGCCAGTAAGAGTTCTGGGAAGGAAGGAGCACCTGTCCAAAGGGAAGGTGTGAGAAGGAAGAGACACAACAACACCTGGGCTCAGAATACATTAGAGAAAGGCTCTGTGAGCCAAGGCAAGTAAAGTTCTGGAAGTAACTTAGAGCAAAGTATATTTATAAGAAAGTGATCATGAGATCATTTAAGACAGAAAAAGCTGAAGATCTTAGTAAAGAGCATAAACTGTGTTTGGATAGGATTTGGACAAGATGTAAAGAATGAAAAGGAAACATAGTATCGAAGAGTGGCAAAAACATTATCCAAACTCATCCCCAGTCAGCATCACTGAACTTACAGCATGATGGGGCAAATCAACATAATGGTCTCTCTCTCTCTCTCTCTCTCTCTCTCTCTCTCTCTCTCTCTCTCTCTCTCTCTCCCCCTCTCTCTCTCAAAAACATACTAAGAATAGCACACTTTCATACTTAGCCAAACAATGCAAAACTCAAATCTGCTGAGGAACATTTAGACAAATCCAAATTAAAGGACATTTTCCATTATAATTGTCCAAAAACTTGAAAAAAATACTATTGAGGTTAGAAAGACAGAAACATAGGAACTATTCCAGATCAATGAAAATTATATAAATGTGACAAAGAATAGTAAAATGGGTTCAAGAACAGAATCCTGGAGCAAAAACTAAACAAACAAAGACCAACTTATTATTTCTTTATTTCTTGATACAATTGGTAAAGTCTGAACAAGGTCTAGTAAACATAGTTGTGCTCATTTCCTAATTTTGATAACTGAACTATGATTATGTATATTTAAAGAAATATACCATGAGCATGAAGAAATGTGGTATTAATACTAAAAATTACTTTCAAAAATTTAGAAGAAACAATAAGGTGCATTTATGTACAGAAGCTGACAAAATGGACAGCATAGCTATTGGGCAAGAAGAACCATTATGCATGGCCGGTGGGAGTGTCAACTAGCAAGGCACTTTAAAACCAGTCTGGAGATTCCTCAAAACAGAAACAAAACAAAACAAAACTGGAACTAGATCTACTGTCTGACTCAGCCATATCACTCCTGGGCATCTACTTTACATTAAGGAATTAAATAATCTTACTCCAGAAAGACAAATGCCACAATACTTTCTTGTCTGAATATCCTAGCCTCAACTCCATCATTTTGTGTGTTTAATTTGGAGTACTTCCAGAATTCAGACTACAATTAAAGGAGACAATAAAGTGTGTGTGGGGGGGTATCCTAATATAAGAAGGATGTTAGTACATAGTTAATGAGGATTGGGAAGGGGAAATTGGGGCAAAAAGACCAAAACAAAGAGGGTATAAAAATCACTACGGGGGCTGGAGAAATGGCTCAGAGGTTAAGAGCACTGCTTGTTCTTCCAGAGATCCTGAGTTCAATTCCCAGCAACCACATGGTGGCTCACAACCATCTGTAATGAGAGCTGGTGCCCTCTTCTGGCCTGGAGGCATACATGCAGACAGAGCAATATATACATAATAAACCAATAAATCTTTTAAAAAAAAATCACTAGGAAACCTACTGTCTGGTAACCCAATTTTAAAAGATAACGGAAAAGAGAGTTTAAAGGCCAACAGTTCACAAAACTAGACAATCTCAGTCCTAGAAGTAATGGGTCATTAAACAAAAAGCCCTGTGCCAGGTGTAGACTTCTTCTGTAGGAGTTGTTCAGGGTGGCCCTCGTAACCACCCAAACAATACAGGCTCTTACCATTCCTCTTGGTTACCCACCAGTACTAGTTGGTAAAACTCTACTTAAGAATGTGGCTTAAGATGCCACATGCTCTAGATGCAGGATATAGGGAAACCCAGTTGGAACTGAACTGGACAATTTCTCCCGACTGGCTAGTTTACATATTGCTCCATGGTGTTATGCAGGCTGTTGGGAAAGTAAAAGCATTAACGGTCTTACCCAAATGTGAACTCTTATGAACTATAATTCCAACTAGCCAGGCAAGATGAGCCCTCTGGTAAACAGTGGCACAACTTTTACAGTATCACCAACTGTTCATTGATGGATTTCAGATGACTCTACACGTGGTTATCCATCCCTCCACTGTAAACCCAATCCAAAACCAAGGTAGTCTTAGGTCCCAGTGGGGACTTAATACTGTTACTTTGCTCACCTAATATAGCACCATCCACCTTTTAGCATCTGTGTTTATACCCACAGGTAAAAGCTACACTAAATCTTAATCAGAGCAGCTTCTCCTTGTAGTGAGTGCAGATGATTTCAGAGACCTATGGCTGCATACGTTTCTGAGATTAAAGAAGAGTTGAGGACTTATGCCTAAACAAGACATTTATGGCACTCCCTGAAGGCTCAGGGAACATTGCTGAAGAAGGGATATGGGAATGTAAGAGTCAGAAAAACAGGGAGAAGAGCTACAAAATACCATTTCCTAAGCAGAACATGTTTGTGACAATCATGAACTCAAATACTTGTGCCTATTGGCAATGGCCCTACATAAATTGGGTCCTCCTGACAAACAGCTGTGGATGGGTAAAGGGCTCACTGGGTCCTACTGATTTCTGATGACCTACTGGCAGCTAAGAAACTCTGAGAAGTGGAGAGGGTTTAGTATCCTGTTGTGAACAAACTGATGAGCTACAGCCTCTAATGGACAGTTCCAAACCCACGGTCACCAGACTGTTGCAGTCAACTTCTATGGGAAACAAAACAAACAAACAAACAAACAAAATACACTATTGTTACTCCTTAAATAGAATTTCCTTGTAATAAGGTGATATATGATAAAATACTTAGGGATTAGATCTTATAATGCCTGTAACACAGCAACTTATTTTACAATGGCTCAGAAAAAAAAAAAAAAAAAAAAAAAGGACCAGGGTTGTAGTTCATAGCAAAACACTTGCCTCATTTAGGCCCCCAATTCCTTTCCTAGAACACCTACTTCACCACCCTAAATATGCCAAAAGTAACATCTCTAACAACAAAATAACAATAGGAAACCCAGACTAATTAAAAAGCAAAAATAAATATATGAGTCAAATTGACTTATTTTAAAAGATTTGTTTTGACTACTTTGAAATCATGTATATGTTTGTGTTGCTGTGTGTGGGTATGTACACTGGATTGCAGATGACTCTCTAGGAGGCCAGAGGCATCAGATTACCCTGGAGCTGAACTTAACAGGTGGTTTGGAGCTGCCTGACCTGGGGGGTGGCAGCAGAACCTGGGTCCTTTGCCAGAGCAGCATGAGTTCTTGGTCACTGTGCCATTTTCCAGCCCCTAGATACAAATAAAAGATAAAATAAATTTAATAAACGAGCAAACAAACAAACAAACAAACAAAGCCTCACAGTGAGTTCTAAGCCAGCTTGGATTACAGAGAGAGCTGTTTCAAAACAGAAGAAAAGATAACTGTACTTCTGGTTCCCCTTTCCTACAAAGTAGATGCAGAGAGAGTTAACAGCACCATAAACCACATGCTTTTAAGGTTCAGCATCCTTGATGATGAATCTTGACTTACATCCTCAGCTGTTAAATTGCTGCCATGAAAATCACTGCTAGTGGCCAAGTTGCATGAAAGAATAATTATATGTGTTTACTGTTAACCATCAGTCAAGTTTAAGAACTCTGAGGTAAAATTTATGAAATGCAATTAAATGTGAATGCATAGTCTGCAGGTCTATTCGTCCAAAAGAAACACACACACACACACACACACACACACACACACACACACACACACCCATGCATGTACTGTCACACATTAATTTTTATATTAATTTTCTCTGAATATTTTTCTGAGCTATTAAGATTATCAATTGGAAAGTACAAAACAGCTAGTCGCCAAGATATCCCTAAAAGAGTTTAATGAGCTGCAAAGCAATCCAGAAAACAGTGTTAAAATAGGTTAGTGTTAATAAAAGTCTTATACCTATCCTTTTACAATCATCCGTGGTTGAAAATTATCCTGGATTACAAGGCACTCTCCCCCTATTTAAAACTCATGATTTATGGCTGACAATTTTCCAGAGTTTTATCAGAAGGCATTTCTTAGCTGCTCCATGTTAGTTGCTAACATCTGCACCAATGAAGGAATTGTAAAGAGCAAAATTCACAAAGGATTACTATTATCACATTTCTTAAAAGAGAAGCAGTGCATTATAATTTGATATACTGATAGTTTTTGAAGCACTTTCCAATGTAAACTTCAAAAGATCATAATGAATATTTAATTTCAATGCAGCACACATCAAGAGTTCAAAATTATCAGCTGCTAGGAAACTAAATCCACTGATAAAAGAATGTAACCACTTATTACAGCCACAAGCATGATTTTGAGCTGTGATTATATGTAAATCTAATGTCATTACAATTGATAACTGTGGGATTAACTGGGTATTTCTGCAACTTTAAAATATGGTAAACAGTCAATAGTGAGAGAGGTTAATCAGTTAATGGTTTAACAGTCACAGCTGCAAAATGAATCATCGTCTTTTGAAACTCTAAATTTGAATCCTGAAAGCTCTCTATCCGATAAGTAAGCACTATTTTGAAGCCTTTTATTATTAAGTCTCTTATCCTGTCTTCAGTTGTCAGCTGTGTGTGTATCAGACTCTAAGAAAATAACAAATTCCAATTGATGAATAGCTTGAGACACGTTATTGAATAAGCCAAAAGGTCAGGAGAGGAATTGTAACTGTAATTATGGCCAGATTATAAAGGCCTGAAACTGAATAATCCCACCACTCACATACTCTAACCTAGTAAAAATTGCCTAACTTTTCCATGCCTTTATTTCTTCCTATGTAAAATGGGAATATTAATAGCTGTCTACCACATGGACATGTTGTGAAAAGTCAATGAGATAATGTCCATTAAAATGGTATTTGCCACAATCAGGACACATACTTAAGTGCTCTATAAGTGTGCCAAGATTACACTATTGTTACTATTCAGCACTATTGTTATTCAGACTTTGATAGGATCCTAACAGTTTTTAATAGTGTTTCATCATCAATGTTTAATTAGTTATTGTTGGTAATGGTGGTAAAGTTGATGCTGGTAGCTTTAGTTGCTAACAATCAAGATGTGACATATCAGTTCCAACTTTAAAATAAAATTCTGCATAGTTCAGTGGAATTTAAAAAACCCTATGTCTTAGGGTTTCTACTGCTCTGATAAAACACCATAACCAAAACTTACTTGAAGAGGAAGAGTTTTATTTCATATTATAGCTTATAGTACATTATCCAGGGAAGTCAGGGCAGGAACTCAAGGCAGGCACCTGAGGCCAAACTGATGCAGAGGTCAATGGAGGAGTGCTGCTTACTGGCTTGCTCTTTGTGGCTTGTTTAGCCTGATTTGTTTTGGTTTTGGTTTTGGGTTTTTTTTTTTTTTTTTTTTTTTTACATTCTGGACCACCTGTTCAGGAGTAATGGCCCCTGTGAGCTGGGCCCTCCCATATCAATCACTAATCAAGACAATGCCCCACAGACTTGCCTACAGGCCAATCCTATGGAGGCTTTTTCTCAACTGAGTCTCTCTCCCCAAATGACTTTAGCTCATGTCAAGTGACAAAAGGCTTGCCAGAACACATGTCCTTGTCTTTAGTGGAACCTGTTTTCCACAATTGCTTTTACTTTTGCAATATTTTATCCCATCTAGGGTAGTTTGAGATTGTTTCTAAGGAGGAAAACAGCATAGGAGTTTAAAGAAACAGTAGCACTGACCATGTTGACATCAACCACTTCCATTGTAAGCTTAGTACTTAGGTACAGCTGACAATTTATTGTCACTCCACCATTTTCAAAAGCACCATGCATGACTTTATACATCTCTAGATGGAATAGTTTTAGAATTACCATATTCCTTCAGCAAAAATTCACTTTTATTTAAGTATTAACTATTTTCAATTCTTAAACCTTTTCTAATATTGCCCAACGTCTTTCTTGTGCATGTCTAAATGGAATCCCTTAGTGGCTACTATTTAGCTCACAGTGAAGTGATATGGAATACAAGGTAGAACTCTGAAGGTCAGAGTTATACTAAAGAGTCCCTTGATAGACTCTTCATTATTTTTCTATTTGCATGATCATAATTTTGTGACAAGCTAGTTTTGACAGTACTGCAGACAGGCCATTATTCCACATTATCCTAAATGAATGACAGAATTGAATCCATCTTAAGTTCCATTAAGAAATGGACAGTGTGTGTCTTGTTCTTCAGTGCACTCCCAACTCCAAACATGGTAGATGGTGTGGACAGATTTTTTTTTGGAAAAGAATTCATTGAACATTAAAATGAATGGTGGAATGAAAATATGAAAAGGAGAGACAAAGAAGAGAGAAAAAAAGGACAGTTCTAAGCTCAGTTATAAGAATGAAACACATATAACACTGGATTACCATTTAAAAATTTTAAAAATTATTAAACTAATCCCTAAGAATAGTTTAATCCGAAATGATTATGGTTTATGTAAGAAATGAGAAACAAATTTGAGGAGTTATTATATATGATCTATTTTCTGTAAAGGATAAAATGGATTATGTAGAATCATCTATGAGGTCTACAAATTATGATTATTAACTACTAAACTATCAATTTTTCAAATAATTTTTCTCTCTCATATATCTTTTAAAGCACTAGTAAGGATAATCATGTGCCTGGAAGAATTGAGGAATGCTGTTGCTAGTATGGTCTATGTAGCCCTATTCCAACTGTCATATATTTGTCAGGGTATCCATTCTCACCATCCAAATAACCAGTCAGTAATCCCCAGGATATCAATATTTAGAATACATGTATCTACTGAGGCTTTTAATACAAATAAACTATTTAGAAAATAGTTTAGGATTGGAAGTCTCAACCATTACTTATTTCATGAAAGTATATCAAAGTTATATTAGATGTTTATAGGGAACACTATAGTTTCCTCAATAGAAAAATATGGTGTATGTAGAAATTGAATGCACACTTGCTACAACTGAGTTATGCAATAGAAGTAAAGATTCTACATTAAAAAAACCTAAAGCATATGTGCAGTTAGTCCTCTTATTAAGTTTACTTACAAAAAGTGGTTTAGAAAAAGAGAATTTTTCTAAATAAAAATGCTTTATTTTTTCCATTATATAAACTAGCAAGAAATTATTTAGTAGTATGAAGCAAAAAAAAAAAACCCACTGGTTTACATCATAATCCTCTTTAGAATATAGCTTCTGTCAAACCTCTTATATTCCTAAAGTGCTTCATAATTATGGTTAATGCATAGCAACTTCTATTATAATTAGTATATGTTTGTATTGCCTGAAATTAAAACAAAAGACAAATAAGCAAGTCAATATTAAAGGTGTACTATATGATCATTACATTGTTAACGCTCTTATTAAGTTCTTAAATCTAACCCACATAAAAGGGCTATATAATGTATAAGTAATTATTATGCATCTTTTACAAATGAAAAACGGGTTGTGAATGCAATCAGTGTGATACATAAGGATACAGATTCAGATGGGGATGTCTACCAATTTTAAAACAGGGTTATCTTTCACCTTCAGTGATCAGGCAGGTTTGCTGCCATCTGCATCAGTACAGAGAAACTTGGGCCCTTGCTTCACAGGATAATCACTTCTTACTAAGTCACAAGTCGCACATAATTACAGCAGCTCCCTCATTCCAGGGCAACCAAGATGTGGGTATAAAAAAATGAAGACAGGAGCAATCAGAGTTCGAGTTGTCATTTTCTGAGATGGGGAATCTTGTGGGAAGAACACATTTGTGAAGGGAAAAGCCTGATGTATCTGGGACAATCTCATTACAAGTGTTTATTGGATAAGCAGGAGAAGGTTTTGAATAAGGAGGAGGTCAGGGGAGAGAGAGATTCAAGCCAAGAGCACATTTGGAAGGTCCTGCAAATGGATCAGGACAGGAAGGATGGGGCGAGGTAGAGCACACTGGCTGCAGTTCTGGGGCATTCCAACACTGAATGGTTTAGAGGACAGACTTCCTGAGAAAAACAGTTCAGGGAAAAGAAGGACAAGAGAGGGATAGTGTCATTGAAGCCAAGTGAAGACAGTACTTGAAGAAAGGGGTGACACTGCACAAAGCTCTCTGGTCAGCCAAGGGTGATGACGTCTGCAAAAGGACCTGACACTTGACACACTGATAGGCGTGATGCAGCTATAACTCTGGCTATTTCTTACATTTTCCAGTCAAAAGTCTTTCAAATTTTATTTTAATATATCTATACAACTATATAAATATATAGTTAGCTTACATAGCAT